CAGATTCTGAAACTCCGATGGAGCGGCTCATTTTACATTATAGTCAGAAAGAATCCCTGCTCAGAGGATTGTCGTGGCTGTCACGATTTACAAGATCACTTAAGGAAGGACAGAAGGGGTTTATAAAAATGTCTCCCCCTTTGTGCTATGAGGAGCAACGTGAAGCAGAAAAGAAAATAATTCGACATATACAAGAACATGAATTTCCAAGGGAGTATGAAAACCTGTCAGTTGGCGCTGAGGTACCAAGAACCAGTCGATTAGTGAAGCTTCACCCTTTCATGCAAGACGGTATCATTAGGGTAGGTGGAAGATTAGCAGAGGCTTCGATTTTAGAAGAAACAAAACATCCTATCGTTATTCCGAGTCGTGGTCATTTTACAGAACTACTCATTACGGACGCCCATGAAGCCGTAGGGCACAGTGGGAGACAGTTCACGCTAGCGAAACTTCGAAAACGTTTTTGGATTCTGAAGGGAATTTCAAGTGTAAGACGTGTTCTAAACAGTTGTTTGAGTTGCACTAAACTCTACCGACCACCTGAATCACAACAAATGGCCAATCTTCCGTCTGACAGAGTGCAAGCTCAAGAGCCACCGTTTACGCGAACAGGTGTGGATTACTTTGGACCATTTTATGTCACTCAAGGTCGTTCACAGGTCAAGAGATATGGGGTCATATTCACCTGTCTTGCTATCAGGGCCGTACATCTGGAGGTTGCTGAAAATCTGACGTCAGACTCATTCATTTGCGCCCTGCGCAGATTCGTTGCACGTAGAGGTAATGTTCAAATACTAAGGTCTGACAACGGAACAAATTTTACTGGAGCCAACAGGGAACTGCGCTTAGAGATGACAAGGTTATCAGAAAATGAGCATGTGTTACAAAGAGCAATGCTCAAGCGAGGAATTACATGGAAATTCAACGTGGCAGGCGCCTCCCATCATGGTGGGGTGTGGGAACGTCAGATACGATCCATAGGAAGAATACTCGAATCCCTTTTAACATCGCAATCGCTCAAGGAAGAGACACTCCGAACCATATTTTGTGAAGTTGAAAACATACTGAACAGTAGACCGCTTACGCCAGTATCTAGCGACGTCAGGGACGATCCACCTCTCTCGCCAAATGACATTCTTCTTCTGGGAGGACATGGTGTAACGTTACCATTCGGAGTCTTCTCCCAGGCGGACCATGGAAATAGAAAAAAATGGAAGCAAGCTCGTCATTTCGCAAATGTTTTTTGGACACGGTGGAGATCCGAATACTTACCGACTCTACAAGAAAGGCACGTTATGACAGAAACAAGAAAGAACTTTCAACCAGGAGACACAGTTCTGCTTGTTGATGATAGTGTTCCCAGAGGCCAGTGGCCACTCGGTTTGATTGAAGCTGTTCGAACTAGTTCCGATGGATTGGTTCGATCTGCGACTGTCCGAACAAGAGGGACAGTAATGCAGCGCCCAGTGACAAAACTGGTGAAGTTAAATTGAAACCTCTCGTTTTCGACCCCTCGTGGTTTCAAGGGGGTGGGTGTTGGCGCCGCCCAGCAAGAGGGTTCGCCGCAGTGTGTATACGCGAGAAAATTGTCACGCGATTTTATAATTTCGAATTCAGTATTTTGTTTCCGTCTCAGCTGGAGTTTATTGCAAGTTTATTGCGCTAAATTGAATATGGAGTATAGTTAGGTGATATTTTGTGTTAAGTGTTAACATATTTTGAACCCCGCAGACTCATGTAAGTACGCATTTTGTTGTGGTAATAGACACGACTTTCGTTAGTAGTGAGAGTGACGATCTTGGTTATATCTGTAACGTTAGATCTTGTATGAGATGATTTAGGTAAATGCATAGTGTTGTTGTCCTTAAACCTATGTCTCCAAGTTGTATGACGTGATGTCATGTATTCCAGAAACGGCAACATGGAACTCAAGAGAGATATGTTTGTTTCTATTATTTGAGTAAGAAGATGCTCGAATAGTGCAATTAGACCGTATTGAGTGCGGTGGTAAAGGCCATAATTGATTTGCTGATTTAGCGTAATCAAAACCGCTGTTCCTTTCCGATATTTCTTACCAGGCCCTGGCAGGTCACTCACTCTATTGACTTACTCTATTATTTACCACTAATTCTTTTATCCCTAAACCCTGTCCTGTGACTATCCCCTCTCTTATTTACTTTCCTAGCTCCCGGATCCCACCCTCCTCCCTACCTCCACCCCACCTCCCAGGTCTGATGAACGCCCGACCCCACCCCGGCTCCTGCACCTACGGACGTACAGCCGGCTCCCTGCCACGACATAGCGGGCCGACGACGCGTGAACCCGGCCAACGAATGGCCACCCGACACCGAATGACAAACGCTCCCGCTCTACAACATGGAAATGGACCGGCCGACAGCCGGCGGCAATATTATTCAGATGGTCTCCTCCGAGAATTCTGCGTATTCAAGGTGTTGGACGTCGGGAGCGTTGAACTACGAAATTAAGATCCGGCAGCGACAGTAAGGATAAATATTAACCACTGTGAACATAAGCGAAGCACCATTTTTTGTCGTTCACCATACGTTGATTCACGTACAAATATCTCATACCCTCATAGACTCTTCATTTACACATTGATTTTCGCAATCACTCTCGTGGGACACAATTCCAACGAATTCCATCTAATCTGGTAGGTTTCACAGCGTGCCTGAGCGAGAGCTGACCAGTTCACTGCCCCGAATCTCCCTCTCAGGTCACCCACCCTGCCCTCCTCCCTCCTCCCTCCTCTCTCCCCGGGGGGACACTTCAGGGCGCCGCGAGCACATCCGTTTGACGAAGCGCCGTGTCTGGCGTGGCGGGCGGGCCGCCGGGCAGTTCTGAGCACCGCCCACCGACCGCTCTGGCAGAGCTACCTCGGCGCGGCTCGGCGGTCTAACTCCGTCCGAGGCTCGCAGACTTCATGGAACCTCAGCCCAGCCTGTGGCGGCGGATCGGCCGAACTGAGTCGCCTCTGAGGACCCGGGGAGGCCGGTTTGGACCGAGACGCAGCCCGCACCGGGATCGAGCACGTGCGCCGCTGAGGTCGGTTTTGGACGCATACCGGCCAAGAGCGGGTAAGAATTCTGTCGCCGGGTAGCGCTGGTTGCATCGACCGTGTGCTGGGTATATCTTTGACAGAGTTCGAGAGAAGGCCCGTGGCTGGCCTGAACCGGCGGTCGGTCAAGCTCGGCCGTTCGTCAGCCGTCTGCCCGGTCAGCATTACGTCAGTGTAGGACGTCAGCGCCGCCAGAGCGACGTCAGCAGCTGACGTCTGTGTTTGACGTCAGTGTCATCAGATCTGCCGTCGAGTCACCCGACACCGACCAAAGTTCGCCTCATTTCACGGTCGGTCATATCCACAGTCTGCCGGCTGACGCCTCTGGTTTTAAGGTGCTGCACAATTACTACACACTACACAGGCATGGAACAGTATCCCTTTCTCCACCGCGCGGCCTAGCCTGTCCTAGGCACGGTAATCTGAACCTCCTTCCATTCTCTGACATACCCTGCCTTAGGAAAGGAAACTTGGCACTCCTTCCACCTATCTCGCCTTCTGTCTGTTGAGTTGAACCTCTCCTTCAATCTTCAGACATACCCTGTCCCCTGTCCAGTTACCCTGCTTATCTCCTCACCATCACTCTCGCCTCCTGTTCCCGCCACCTCTCCCCCTATTTCCGCCCCTCTCGACCTCAGTTCGCTCGCCCAGTCCGCCGTCTCCCAGACATCTCTCTCCGGGTCGCCGGGTCACAATCCATCAGCGGCGCCCGACCGAAGTCTTATCGTCACTGGCGGCCCGGCGGCGACAAGAAGTGAATTGATGAGCGCCGCCGCGACACGTACGCTCCTGTCCGCGTCCGCGGGCCGTCCGACGCCGGCTGGCGCCGCTCCACTGGGGAAGCGTCCGCCCGCCGCTCCGCCCGCCACCCGGCCCGCGATAAGCCCGCCTCACCCCAGGGACTCGATACCACCACGGCGGTCGCTGAAATTTGAGGGCCGGTGCTCGTTCATTTTCCGGACAGAGCCCCAAAAGAATCTCATTAACACTTCATTAGCCATCGATTTGGAGGCGCTCTCCGCGCCGGGTTTTGGTAACCAGGAGGAGATCTATTTTAGAGCGGTGTGCTTTGTTTCTTTTGAGGAGGAAGAGGAGCCGGTTCCGCGGAACACGGCGGCCGCGGAGTTAAATGGCGAGGGAACCATAACGGCGTCATAAAAGGCTCGTTACCGAGCTAATGTATGGCCGCGCGGTATAACAGTCGCCCGAAACGCTTCGTCCCAATTCATTTTAATGAAAACTCTCACAGTACCCGAATCCACCCAGGCATACAGACCACACAAATCCACTGATGACAAATCAATAACCCGGTGGATATTCCGCCGCCACCACCGGGCGGTACTCGGCGCCGGCCATTCCGCCCTCGCTCGCGGCGCGGCTGGGTCCCCGGTCGGCCGTCCGCTCCGACCGTCTGCTCGGCCCATTACCGGCGCGCTCCACGGCGTTCTTCATGGCCGTCCGAACGACTCACACAGGCGCCGTTTGCCACTCGGACGGGGCATTTGTCCAGCGAAAGGCTCAGACAGGTGGCGTCTCTCCGGGCCCGGAGGAAGGGAGGACTTACGGCCGCTGCCCGCGGGGTCTCTGGCACCTCCTCGGCGGTTACGGGGGTCTCTCATGGACGAATGACTGACGCCTGAGAGGGCTGTTTAGCTATCTGACCGCCGACCGGACTATCTGACTGAACCGGCGCCTGGCCGAGTTCTCTAACCGGAGTCTGACCCGGATATCTAACCAAGATGAACGATCGCGAACATCTGACTGTTCTATAAGAACGAGCGTCTGAGAGAGCTAATCATCAATGTATCGCCTTTTTCTTGCATGTTTTTTCCACTTATCACCCAGAAGAACTACCCCGAACACCACCCTGCAGCAAGCTCTTCCCCCGTGAACGTATCCCCCTGCAACCTCTTCCCTCACTGACCGTGTTTGGCTCCTGCTCTCGATCTGCAGTAGTAGATGAGCGCAAACAGTAGCGCTAGGAGCAGCAGCAGGCCGAGCACACCTCCCACGATGGCGTACAGTCTGACCCGAGACCGACCCACGCCGCGCGTGGTGACGATCGGTACAGTGTGACCGCCGCCCGGCGACTCGGTGGTCGGCGCGTCCGGAGAGTCTGAAGGGAAGCATGGAGGTCAGAAAGGGGTTAGAGAGAGGGTGAGAGAGGTTAGGATGATGTTTTGGTTTCAGGGAGGAACGTACGGCGCTGGTCATTGGTGACCAGGGTTTTGAGGTCAGTGAGGGCAGGAAAGGGGTGAACTATGGAGCATACAGAGGTCAGCAGCTATAAGACATTCTCAAGAAACGCAGAGGTAGCTGACGTGTTACATTAGACCAGTGACAAGCACAGAGCTCAACTAGGAAGTCATGCAGATCAGCTGAGGCCTAAGAGGTGAACGGAGAATATCAGAAGTCAAAGACAAAGGTTTCGCCGAGGAGAAAAGAGGACAGAACCTCACTCACCCTCGGTTCGCTCGGTGATGATCTGTGAGAAGGCGGACACGCCGCCCTCCAGGTTGAAGGCCTGCAGCTTGATGTCGTACGTGGTGCTCGGCAGGAGCGGGGTCAGAGTGTGCTCCTTGGTGGCCTCACCGAGCACAGTGACCTGGGGGTCAAAGGTCAGATGTCAGTAACAGGTCAGAGGACACTTGATGTCACAGGGCAGCGCAACAGGTCAGAGGACATGTCAGTGACCCTGACATAGGCAGAGTGACAGCTTAGGCTTACCTGGGATCTTACGTTAGAGTCACTAGCCAGGGGTCAAGGTCACAGGTGTCATGGTCTCAGCTGGTGTCAGGGTCATAGCTCTCAGGGTCACAAATTCCCAGTCGCTGACACGGTTCTCGCCCCGGAAGCTATCATCCCTATCCTCACCCAGTCATCGCCACCCCGGCGGAGATCGACTCAGTGATCCGCCGACGGGCGACTATTCAATCTGCCGCCGGGTGATCAGCCGACTCTGAGCCGATCCGAGGGGTAATGGCGACACGCCGGGTCAAAGGCAGCCCGCCGGCGGCTCATAGCCCGTTCATCCGCCCGCTTAGCTGTCTGCTGACAGTCCGTCTGTGAGTCTGTCTGTCAGTCCGACCGTCCGTCCGTCCGTCTTACAGTCTGTCTGTCGCCCGTCTATTTGCTTGCTTGTCTGTCTACAGATAATCCATGACTATAGTAGATACGGAACAGCACAGTGCACACACAGGCAGCACACAAAGCACACACCGGCATAGCACACACCACCCTTGCAGCACAAAGCCTCTGCAACACACCAGCATACCAATGCAGCAGTCACCACAGTCAGCCGCAGTCACCGCCGGCAGGTCGACAGTCCCGGCAGCAGCCGCGGGCCGTTCGCCGGCTGACATTTGACCGTAGTGGAAATGTCACCGGCTCACCGCCCGTCGGCCGGCTGATGCCAGCCCGGCCAATCGTCATGGCACCGGCGCGGCGGAGCGAGGAACGCGAGACCCGGGCGGATCACATCAAACGTCACGTGTCGCTTCATGACATTGATGTAGCGATATAGCCGTGCTCAGGTAGTAGTCATTTGCAATGCAAGCTGACCTGTATGTATAACAGACATATCCGCTTCGCTTTTTAAAAAATCTCCGTGAAGTACTTCCGCTTTCAACATTTCAGACGCTGAGCTCATTCACTCTGACCGTAGGCATATCCATGAAGCTCTCCAATCACCTTATGTCGATCCTGGGCCGCCAGTGACTCGTCCATTGGACGGATCTGAGGGGCGTCTCTCGCCCATCGGCGGCAGCGCAGCCCAGTTGGCACGGACTCGCCATTACCACATCGGAGAGCCGTCATCAGCCGCCAATGCCGCCGTCCGTCCGCCGGGCGGGGGCGGGGGCGGGGGCGGGGGCGGGGCGGGGGCGCCACACCATTACCGGCCGGCACGCGGCGCGTGACACCCCCTCTCTCCCCCTCTTCCCTCCCCTGATCGGCCCCCCAGCGGCTGGATGCGATCCCGTGCCGTTTTTTGCCGATAGGATAGACACGGGCCGACGCGCCGGCCGCCGCGGACGCGCCACATTCGTTACATCCGCGCCGCATCGGTCACGTCGGCGCCGGGGAGGGGGGAGGGGAGGGGCAGGCGATGGCCGCTGTTTTGCCACATCGCCGCCGGCCGCGCGAATTGAATGACAGTAATATGATTGTACTGAGAGAGAGGTCAACAAAGGAAAAACGGCCAATTTTCCGACCAATGACGGCTGCTATTTTACCGCTCAACACGAGCGCAACAAAGAACTGACAAAAAACTAGACCAACTAGACGACGACTAGCCGCTCGACAATTACGAGACCAACCATTCAGTCTATAGCTCAGACAGGCCCGGTACCTGTGGAACTCTCAGGGGTGGCGACAGCCTCCCATCCCAGCGGCACACGGCTGGCACCGTCCTGACCGTCCAGCGACCTCTGAGTGACCCCACGGCCCGTCCGCGCCGCCACGAACCCCGGAAACCCAGCGGCACGTCCCAACACGGCACGGCACGGCGGCCCAGAGCACGGCCGGCCGACCGGTCTGGCCGCCTGAAAGGCCTGGTGGCGAGGCGTCTGATCTCAAAGGTAATGGTATGATCAGATGGAGTTCATCCTAGGTCTCTGGGTTGCTGACGAACGGTCAAAGTCAAAACAGGAAATAACCGGACTGAAGCCCATCACAGGTTGCCGTCCACTGGCATTAGATCAGTCCAATCTGCCGTTTTCCCAGCCTGTTGCCCACAATGCCCAGTCTAGTCAGCCGGCTCTCCAGTCAGCAATTTAGTCCAGTCAGCCGTCCGGTCTCGTCTGCCTCACTCAGTCTAGTCTGTCGTTCCGTCTAGTCTGCCTCACAGTCTAGTCTGCGTCCCGGCGGGCCGGGCTCGGTCTAGTCTGCGTCACAGTCTAGTCTGCGTCCCGGCGAGTCTGCGTCACAGTCTAGTCTGCGTCACAGTCTAGTCTGCGTCCCGGCGGGCCAGCGGCGGCGGTGGTTTATCGCACCATGAGGCTCGAATACGGCCTCCGCTGGCGACACACAGCCCTTTACCAGAGAAATACGGCGGCATTCGACCGGCCGCGCCCGCCTCATGGCTATGTAACAAGGAGCCAACGACGCCGCCAACCTGGCGACCCGGCGGCGACCGTAACCACAGTGGCGGTAACTGAACGGTAACCGAACTACGCCCATAACCAGAACGGTTACCGAACGGCGTGCAGTGACCAGAACGGTAACCAAACCGAGCGCAGTAACCAGAGGGGTAACCGAACGGCGGCAGTTACCGAACGGAGTGCGGTAGCCAAATTGGTAGCCGAGCCGCGCACAATAACGAATGAGACCGGTAACCAAATCACGCACAATTGCGAAGTGAAATATGAGACCACACTCCTCGATATTCACACTTCAAAATTACCCCTCCACTTGGCAATTGCAAAACATCGCTGCAGACACAATTTAGTAACCAAACTGTAAGCCGTAACTACACTTCGGTAGCCGGTACTTAAAACTGTAACAAAAGCTGACAGGCAAAACATCCTGCCCCATCCCTCCCCGGAGCGATTTTAGCAGCGCCACCGGCCGTGAGTGGACGGCGCTGCGGCTGGTCAGACTCGCCGACACCTCACCGCCGCACTTCGCTGCACTTTGGCGTAAAGTTCACCAGCGATTAAGCGCCTGCGAGGAGCGCGCCGATGCTCTCAAAGTCCAAGTCGTCGCACAACTTGGCGCCTTGTTCGCGCCCACTCTGTCGGTCGGTAGGGCCCTTCTCGCGGTAAGTACACCCCTCCCCAATGTCTGCCTCTCCTCCTCCCCCCTCTCTCTCTCTCTCTCTCTCTCTCTCTCTCTCTCTCTCTCTCTCTCTCTCTCTCTCTCTCTCGTTCCGCTCCTCTCACCTTTGAGTACTCTCCCGCCATGGTGGTGTCTCGGAAGAAGATGAAGTAGCCCTCTATCGGAGCCGCCTGAAGACTGTACTTCCAAGAGAACTGGATGGCGTTGGGACTGCGCGGACTGTGGGACACAATCACGGGCGCGCCAGGCGGCTTGGCCTTCTTACGCATACGAGTCATCTTGACCTTGCGCGAGTTGGGGCCGTGCTTGTTGTCCTTGTTCTCGTATACAGCCAGCACGCGGAATCTGCCGATCAATGGAGAGTGGGTGAGCAGGGGTAGAGCGGGAGGGGAGGGCAGAGGGGGCGAGTGACGGGGACAGAGAGAACAGAGCGGCCCAGTCAGCAGCGGACGTATTCGGGTCAATTGCCGCGGCCACTGCCATCCCCAGGGATGGGCATTGATTGCCGTCTCAGCAAATTACTGCCGAGGAAGCAATCAAGGTCAATGACAGCGGTCCCAGTGAGTCCATTGATCACCGGGCGCGCCGGCAGCCGGCCGTTTGAATCACACGGCTCGTTAGGTCCATATGCGGGCTCCCAGTTCGGATTGGTGACGGCGCGGCTCCGCTGGGAGCGGCAGTGATCAGACGGCCGGCTGGGCCACCGGTGCAGACATCAAACAGCGCCGGGCGGCGGCATCAGCGATCAACCAGAACTGGATGGGGAGCGGGCATATAACGGCCGAATGTTGGAGTATGGAACATCGTTATTGCAATTTGTAAATGTGATCGGGAGAATTTAGGCTAGCTTTGTGTTGATAGTACCTAGCGAGTGACTGCGAGTAATTACATTGAACATCCTCAATCACACTAAACATGGGATGCTTCCACCTGCTTCGAAATGAACACATTGCCATCCAATAGGCGAGTGACGCCAAGCCAAAAGATGGCATAGGCGGAAAACAAATTACACTTCCATTACATTCCCCATTCTTCCCTTCTCCACACTCACTTGTATTTGGCGCCGACCTCCAGTCCGTCCACCTCAAAGGATCGCGCGGTGCCGGGTACGTCGGCGTCGTGCGTCTGCCAGTCGTGTCGGCGCCGCGGCGCCCGCCGGTACTGGATCTTGAAGAACAGGATCGAGAGGCCGTCGTTCTCCGGCACGTCCCATTTGAGCATCACCGAACTCTCCGAGATAGGGTAGACGCTGGGCGCTGACGGCGGCACCATTAGCTCTGTGGGCGGGAGGGGTGGGTCAGTTAGATGGGGTAGACGCTGGGTGCTGACGGCGGCACCATCAGCTCTGCGGGAGGGAGGGAGGGGGGGGGGGGGTCATTCAGTATAGAGCGGGGCACCGAAAGGACACAGAGGCGGCCTCTGTGAGGCCAAAGTAAAAACACAATGAAAATAGTGAAAACAGATAGCACTGAGACAAGCGCCACACTGTTTGGTCCATGAGTGCCCCCCAGTCTAACCCCGTGTCTGCTCTTGTTGCAATTTCTCCCTCCTCCGTTCTCGATTTAATCCCCCGTTTCACTCTTTTTTTTTTGTTTTGCTCCCTCCCCTGCTCATACCCCTCCCATCTTTGTCCCCGCTTTCCATCTCCCTGATTTCGTTTCCATCTCGTCTCACCTCCGTCCCTGTTCCTGTTGCCGTTGCCTCTCCGTCGGCCGGGCGTCTGGCGCTCAGTCGGCGCCGGGGTAGAGGTCATCACTGCGGAGCCAGACGACATACTCTGGCGCGGGATCACCTGGCGAGGGGAGCAGCATAGGTTAGGTCAGGGGTCAGTCGTGAGGTCCCTCGTAATGGTGAAATACGAAGGAGAAACGGCGAAACAAGAGCACATCTTAAGAGAAGACACAGGGAGAAACGAACTGCTAATTTCATTGAATGAAAACAATTTTCATAAGAAATGAAAATATGTAAGTATCGAGATTTTACGCAAGTAACAAGGTTATTGCATGAATCAATCAATCACTAACTGTATCTGGTGTCATATTCTGATCTTTCCTATTTCGTCTCCTATCCCCTCCCCGAGAAGCATCCCGGTTAATCTCTCCCTCCCATCCTAACAGTCATCCCCTACATACCTTGAGCAGCACAGCGGCCTTATCATCCCCCGCCTCGCTGTGTCCGAAGCACTGGTAGAGCCCGGCGTCCTGCCGCGTCACCGCCTCAAACTGCAGCCGTCCCCTATCCACGGTGGGTCGGCGCCCGCCCAGCACCGGTCGGCCGTTCAGCACCCACTGGAGCCGCGGCGGCGGCTGGCCGCGGCCCGAGCACACCAGCTCTGCCGGCGCGCCCTCGGCGACCGTGAGGTTCTGCTGGGACGTCTCCACCGAGGGCGGCTCTGTGGACACGGGGGGGGGGGGGGGGTCGGTGAGAAATGTGCTTGGCAATTATTAGGATACTCAACCCAAAACTACTCGTGATGGCTCACCTACGACGATCTTCAGTCCACAAGTGGTGCTTATTTCAAGCTCAATACTCACTACTCAGCATAGGTGAATGTACTATTTAGATGTCAACTCATAGGACAAGATACGTATGAAATATGAGTTATATTCTGTCGATCGGTAACGTTTCAACCGAGAGCTGGTCGCTGAGAATAGCCTGCGCCGCCGCCGAGCCGACATCCAATACAACTCGTCAGCGTTACATTTCACGGCTCGGTCGGCTCCGTAATCATACTGCCGGATGCAATAAACCCATCGCGGGAGCTACATCTGCCGTTGGAGGGTAACACTACCCAACTTGACACAGCGTTATGAAACATCCGATATATCACTTGTATACGGCTATATCATAAAAACATATGCCCATTGCTAACTTGGATACCAGCAGAGCAAGAGTCACTCTACGAAGTACAGCAGCCCCCTCTCTCCCACCTCCCTCCCTCTCTCTCCCTTTCCCTCTCTCACCAATGACCCTGACGACTGTTCCGGCGGTGATGGTGCCCTTCTGATTGGCCACCTCACACAGGTAGCTGCCCTGGTCGGAGCGGCGCACATTACGGATCTCCAGGCTGGCGGCGTGCTGCACGAAGCGGCTGTCGTCCGTGCGACGGGCGTCCATGCGCTTCCAGCCGACGATGGGACGCGGCCATCCCTCGGCCACGCACTCGATCCTGCGGGAGGGGAGTTGGGGAGGTAAGGTCAGGGCAGGGGAAAAGTTTTAAGCTCACTTCAATGCGTCAGAAGTGGGGTGTGCCCGCCACTGCACAGTGAAAACTCACACTCCGAGTGCTCAGAAACACCTCGATCACCATCAAACCATGAGCGTTACACGGTGCTGACTGCGAACTTCAGCCTGCTCCAGACAAAATCATTCCACTAGTGAGTGGTTAATCTAGTCTGCATACCACCGCTCCATACTAACACCCCATCCTATCGCCCAACAGGGACTGATCAGCTGGTCAGCCATCTCTGACAGCGGCAAACTGACAGTACAGCGCCGATCGTCCCGGCCCGATACCGATGACTCTTAATCACGATAGCGATCCTATCACCGCGTGCCTCTCACGGTGATCCGCCGGCGGCGTGAACTCCCCGACACCTCGACAGCGGCGGCCGTGAGACCGCGTCACCGCGTCCATCCCCGAGACGGAGATCCCAGATAACCACATCATAGCACGATATCGCGGAATGCAGAAGGTATTTAACGGCGGGCAGGTTGACAACTCTCATAAAGCTATCAGGTCTGATCCGCTCTTCAAAAACAAAACACCGCCAAAGCGCTGCGGTGTGTTTGAGGTTATAAAGAGGCCGTCAGGAGCTCGGCGGCGGGTGCTAATACCGTCTGTAGTCGTCACGGGTCTGTGGGTAATGCGGCCTCGGACGGTCCGGTTGAGGGCACGGCGAGGTCCGGCGCTGGCCACGGACGCAAACAGGGTATTAGTCGGCACGACAACCAGGGGTCAACGCTAACACGGATGTACTCAGAATTAACCCAAGGCTGCTCCGCTAAATATGCTCAACTCGCAACAGTAGCAAGGCGGGTTCCTCCAGAACTAAGCCACACTTCAAGTGCATGAGTCGCTACGTGTTGTTAATTGTCTAGCTTAACCAGGGGCATTCGGTTCCCGTTTAACGACTATCACGCAACCGTGACGTATGTAATTTAGTTCCAAGCAAAGCAAGCTTTCGCATGTGACTTACGGTACTTCTAAACGCCAGTAGCGTGCAGGGTCCGTCTCTGAGCCCTTTCTCCAAAACGACCTTCTCTTCTTCCGACAACTAACAACCTTTCACATTCTTCATCATCCGATGCGCTTGCCTCGCCCCTTCTTTCTCCATCCCTCCCAAATCTCTCTTTCATTCGTACCCTCCTCTCCTCTCTTGTCCTCCCTCCCCCTCTCCCTCCCTTCCTCCCTAGACCCTCTATTCTCTCCCTCCCTCCGTCCCTCCTTCCTCTCCCTCTCTCTCACCTCAGCGTGGTTCCGGCCTTCACGCTGTATATCGGCTCGGGCGGCACCACGAGTCGCGGCGCGCTGGTGCGCGGCGGCTGGCGCACCTCGAGACGGGTCACAAACGGCGCTGTCACCGTCTCTCCGGTCAGGTGGTTGGTGGCGGCGCACGAGTAGGTGCCGGCCTGTGCGACGCTGACGTCCGATAGGTGCAGACGGCCGCCCGGGAGCACCGTTATAGAGTCTGAGGGAGAGAGAGGGGGAAGTTAGACCTTGGAACGGACAGCCGGGTAATCCTAGAAAGGACGGTCAGACTCTAATGTCAGCCTAATGAATGTCAAAGAAGGACTATCTGTCTAAGCTAAAACTAATCCTGCCTGACGCGCGGGAAATAAAAAGTGCCAAGCAGGAATGTTCAGGGGGATGGGCGCACAAGGTTAACGTTTCTCTGATGCTGCCTGACGCGCGGGAAGTATGAAGTGCCAAGCTGGAATGTTCAGGGGGATGGGCGCACGACAAGGTTAACGCTTCCCTGTGTCGCGTGTGAAGAAGGAAACAATCAGGGAGACAAGTAGGCATCCACTCACTACTGGCGTGCTAGGACGCAGTGGGGCAATGAGTTTCCATGATTGGAGCCAGTTGTAGTTCAAATAGTACGTGTCGAGTCAAAGGTTCCCAACAATAGCCAGCCACTCATGTCACACGGATCGCGTGCAGATATACCCTGTATGTACCAAGACAACCACAATAGATAGGACATCATCGGATCACAATGCTGGAACTGACACATAGTCAGGTGAACGTCAACCGACACAATACTGAATAGACAGATAGCACGGCTCATTACACAGAGGCGTAATATCGCATCAGACAGCTGACAAGGGCTCTAACCGCATGCGACCAATTACGCGATCAAAAACAAAGTCGGTGGTCAAATACTCGGTGAATTCAGGGTTATTTCAGTAAAAAAGGGATGCTGTATTGGATCATCAAATGTTTCCGACGCGCCACTTATGGGTGGCGTGATTTTCCGATGAGATCACGGTTTCTCATAGATTCGATTGTAACAATGGGCATTTGTGACCACGACAAAGCCAGAAACATGATCACTGAACGCTAAAATAGACATGAACTATTTGAGATCTCGTCTATTGTGTTCATCCAATTAAATGGGTCGTGATCATCAAATACCACAAGACATTCCCGGATAAACTGGCATTCTTATCAGCCCCCAAGTCTGTACAATGCCACTGTTTCTCTAGCATTCTTTAATAGTTTATTTTTGCACACAGTACAGGCCCTTAGAAACACTGCACCGTAAGCACTACAGTAAGACGTTCTCTCTTTTGCTCCTAGAGAGATGGAACGTTCTATCTCTTCCTAAGGTAAGACCGAACGCTTTCGCACCCATGATCTAACTCCAACGAAGCTGTACCGACGCCCCTCGGGCCTCGCGTATCATCGTACCCACCTCCTCTATTGGTGACGGGCTGTCCGTCCCTGAAGAACTGCACAATGGCCGGCGGGTCGCTGGTTGGCGGCGGACACGGTATAGACACAATCCCGCCGGGCGGGGCCACCAGGGTACTGTTCGGCCGAGACTCGAACGGTAGGATGTGCGCGATACTCAGAGTGGCTGGTAACGAGGTGAGACCGATCGGAGCGATCTGGGCCATACACTGTGGAAGAGAGAAAGGGGATGGAAGTCAGTACAGGGGCTATAGCATTGGGGGATCCATCGGGTCATCGGGGAGGGGCGAATATCAACAGTATGTACAAACGAGACGATATTTGGGAAACTGTAGGGTTATGTCTACCGTTCAGTATCAGCCATTAGCGCCAACTGCAATAAATGCGCTCAGTTCTTGGCAAGTATAACCAGTGGCTGCAATGTTTCTGCCAATATCATACATGGTCATTTTGAGCCACGCAGCAAGAGAAGAATCACGCACAACACAACACGACTCCCCTACAGACAAGGAAAACTAACCCAGCACTGTGCACACATTACTTCATACCAGCGGCGACCTGTGGTCATCACGAACAGCCCCGCGATAACAATCGGCGCCCCGCTGAGTGAGACACGACTTCGTGAGGCAGTAATCCGCGTGTAATCCACAGATAATGATCGCCAGTCGCTCCGACTACACTGAGAAGCCGTGTAGGGTTGGAGGAATGAGAAGGAACAATGGTCACATGAGACGGTTCAGTGAGCAAAGGGAGGATAAACAATACCGGTAGAGAGTCGTTGGGGAGAAAACATAGAGTCGAGGCGGCGGAGTTCAGGACAAATTGTCGCCGTTTATGTAACGTCGACTCGCGGCGGCTGAGTGAAATGTCTGTGGAATGCGACAGTCGACAAAAAGTCAACGCTCGGCACGACAGAAAGTGAGAAGACGCGACAAAATGCGACAAAAATATCCCTCGGAATGTGATCAACACGACAGATTGACATATCTCCCCGATCGATCAAATTCGTACGATAGAGAGGACAAACCGATACAAAACGCTCCAGACACGGACATGACACCTCAGACGTAATCCACCGCGATCGGGCCGCTCTGTCACGGTATCGGACCGGACAGAGACAGTCGGCGACGGGCTAACCACTTGTCCAGCAGCGGCGGAGACGTAAAAACTGACACCGGGCGACAGCAGAATACAGGGCGGAACGGGTGTCTGGTGTGCTGGCCGGTTACGAAACATGGTGTTATGGGGCCACCAATTAGACGTCTAAAACTGGTACACCATTAGCGCCTTGTGTAATTCACTGTTTTCCTGTGACTGGTAGCAAAGCTACTAGTATGAGCAGTGTAGGTACCTGAAGTTTGGACATGTAATACAGTGAAACTTGTCTTCCCTATTCTCGCTACGATCACATTTGTTATGAAAACTTTCAGCTCTAGCATCTACCCAAGCAAACAATGCAAATGTTGTCTTATCTAACACCAAGCTACTGTCACTCTCTGGCCTCACTTCCCCATACTCATCCAGTGCTCAACCATACGCTCTCGCCCATCCCCTCATGCCCTCTCATACAGACCCCGTACCCCATCCCCATACTGACCCTGTACTCCCCCGTCTGCCGGTTGTACACGTCGGGCTGGGACCCGACCCTGATCAGCAGCCTGCCCGGCGAAACGTCGATGTTGGGGTCGCTGCCCGGCTCCAGCGGTTTCCAGTCGTGCAGCCATCTGTCGGCAGAGACGGGAAGTGTTAGTTCACCGATCGACCGACAGGTGGCCAGGAGTGCCGAGCGTGACTCCCCTCCACAGCATCCTCACGGAAAACAACACGCGGTGGTTCCCAGAAAAGACGCCCGGATCGGATTTTGAACGAGGCTGTGCTTTGTTACATTCGCGCTAATCCATCGTCATGAGGCTTACATGACGAAAAACCGCACGACATTACCGAAAAACAACGTCTGGGTACCGCGGTATTTCCGAATAGGGAGAAAACAGCGCGTGCATTCTATACGTGGCGTTCAACTCGGCTCGCCACCACAAGAACACGACCGGTTCCCGGTAAACGACTGGCTGCGACACTTTTCTCTCTGGGTCCGCGCGGAAAAACACAGCGGTCGAGCGAACGGAGGCCGGCAGAGGGGGTCTGAGGGCAAAGGTAGGGTTGACAGGGTTGACGGTAAGGTGACGGTCAGGTTGATGCTTACGTCAGGTGGTCGGCGTTCAGGTTGACTCCGCACGTGAATGCCACCTCATCTCCGGGCACAACGACCAGCGACTGGGGCTCCTTGGTGAACGAGATCCCCACCAGACCTGTGGGGAAAAGAGAGGGGGACACTCAGTACAGACACTCTCAGCACCGCGGAACACTCAGTACACGGGGGAAGACACTCAGAAACATTACCAAATTCTGGGGTGGGGGATTACTGATGAGTGAGATCTGTTGCTCATAGTTCAATTGATGACAGAGAACATGATGTAAGCAGTCGTTAACCGCAGCGTAGCGATCATAAGGGATAGGCGGATTCTTGTACATATTGCAAAACCGAGGGAGCCATGCAAGAACATTGTAGTAGTGATGATTGATCATACATATAAGCATGACATGAACATGAAGAGATTTTGGTGAACAACAAAATCTTGAATTGATTGTGTGAAATGTCAACATGATTGTCTCAAAGGTCATCATTCACTACATCAGTTGCTACATCAATTGCATCACAGCCTCACCAGCACCATGACGTGGTACCTACTGACGTGGTGCTCAGAACCAACCGATCAGAGCCAGCCGGTCCTCGGACCCCCAGCGTCGCCACGCCAGCAACAATGACAAACGATCTCAGCCTCTCGGCGGCCCGGCCCGACCCCGGACAGATCCTATCACCACGCGCATGACGCGATATGGCAGCAATCGATGACGTCATCTCGGCTCCGGCGAAACCTGTCCATAAATTACGTGCGGCGACAGACACGGTCCAGGAATGTACGCACGAAGGCGAACACCTGCGTGCACCGCACGCTGCACGCTCCTCACGGCGCTGCGGCAGGCACTGGGAACGTCATCTTGTGATACTGAGCTGGGGATTATACCGAGATAACTCAATCAAGAGAAACGTTACTGAAAAATGGCACATTCCATCATGAAAGGAATGTTACTGGTTATAGCCGGACTAAAAAAGTCCGTACCTCCGCGGCGAAAAAGGACAGTCGGGCGTCTCCAGGGTATCAGACACCGAGAGGTCTCGCTTTAACCTCGGCATGCACCGACCATGAACCCATCATGATCACATTTCCTCGCTGTGTAACCAGCCGGAAGATAAACGGCGAGCAGAGCTGATACTCGCTCATGCACGTGGCAGAACGATCAACTCTCCGGCCGGGCACGCGGCGCCGAGCGACTCCAGTTTCACCATCAAAGGCACCGATCATCGGTACAGATAGCGATCTCCGACGATCCGTGATGCACCGAAATCAAACTCCAAACGAAACGATGAGAAATCGGTGCAAGGGATGACATCAGCGACCTGTCAGCGATCTGTCAATGCCAACGAGCGCCGTCAAACAGTCGAGTATTCTCCAATCGTTAGTTGTGGCTTGTTAGAATTCTCCCAAATCGGAAGGTCGACGGGTGTTCTGCGGTTAAAAGAGCCATCAGTACCAGGTGGACACTGGGCGGACGACTCGCCATCCTTGGTAACCAGTCGATGGCGGTCTCGTGATCAGAATCATCATCAAAAGGTTATGTAATAGGGCACCTTACTGCTGTCTGCCTCCTCCAATCTCCTCGCCAGTCCCACCAGCACATAAGTTGGCGTCAGTTCAACCCGTTTGTGGAGTCTGGGAGATGGTCGGACAGCTCTTCCATCGCACACATATCATCTCTGACGTCAGGTGACAGCCGCAGCTACCGACGGGGTACATTGACTCAGCGGCACCAACTGCTCAGAAAGGCTGACCGAGCCCCTTCCTCAGGCTGCAGGGAGCGGCAGTGGCAACAGCAGCAGCAGCGGACAAACTTCAGAAGCCACCGACTGAGCCTACCGATCGTTTTTCTGGCTGTCATCGCCCGCCACTCCCTGAGAGTGGGACCGACGGAGCCACCCGCGCCGCCGACCACAGCCCGACCCGAGTACGATATTCTGGCCACGCTCCTACCGCCGCGCTATTGATGCGTTGTGTCCTTACGTGGCGGCGCGGTCGGGAGTGTGTGGGAGGGGTCTGTAGCGCCGCCGGTCGCCGCCCCTGCATCGGTCACAGGCGGGCTATCAGTGCGCCGGTCAGCGGTACAGCGGCGCAGACAGCGGGGAGTCGATCAGTCAGACGTCCCTGCCTCCGTCGGAGAGGACCGGGGACCACCGCGGTGGCAGCTCAATCCGATCACTGGGTCAGAAACGACGGCTGACCGGCGTCCCACAGCGGTGGTTCAGGAATCCGATAGATTTCGGTCAGCAGTTCGGTACAACGACAATCCTGAGAGGCTTGTCAAACCTTGCATTGCTGAAATCCTTCCAATGTTAACCGCGGATCAGATAATGGTATGGGATCATTCCCAATAATAATGCCATAGCACGATTTAGCGGAGGCCATACCAAACGATCTTCACAGATCATTAATCATACTGTAGGGCCACACTCACTACTCAGATTATGACAAAATTTAAGCAGCAGCAAAAATTAATTCAATAAGACAGCCGACTCAACAGGTTGCGTCTGCCGTGTGTTCAGACCTCATCCTCACTCCCAGTTTGTCACTCGGTCGCCCAGAACCGACAGGGCAGGTCGGCGGGCCGGAACAGGGCCGGTTCCCGACGGAGTGACATCCATCGCTGTCACCGTCCGGTCCGCGATCGAGACGGGGACTGATTGTTGGTCGAGCTGCGTGTCTCACCCCTCCGGTCTGAGGACGGCTGACCCAAGCGCGGCAGCACGCCACACACACTGTGTGCGAGTGAACCGGTTTGAAGGTCACTGTAGAACGCAGCACCGTGCTCTGATGCGGATCAATCCCCAGCGTAGCTACTTAGCTTATTCGAGCAGAGTGAGAACGCAGCCTGGCTCCGCCTGGACTGGCCAGTGGTCATCTCACACGCAGACGGCGGGGGAAGGGAGGAGGGGAGGGAGGGTGACCCAGATGTAGCCACACCTCCCCGAGTGTAAACAGAACATGGACCTACGACCAGCGGCGGCGAGCGCAGCCAGCAGCGATACCGCCCGGTCCAGCCGCGTGCCGGACATTGCGCCGGCAGACAGGCAGCACTTGCTTGGCGTGTCAGACTGGAGGCTGAGGTCGCGTCAGAACTGAACTCACGCCATGGTTTAGACGTGACACGGTGTCAGTCTGTGACACTAGCAGAGAACACAGCCTCAGTCGGTTCCTGACTCCACTGCTCGCACCAGTGCAAAATGGTTGGTGTTTATCCTCTGCCACGCAAACTTCCACTCTCAACAGCATCAGAGCGCGACGCCGCTAACGCGAACACCTCCGACAAGTGACGATGAACATGTCTGTGTACCGCCGACCGGTAGTGTCCAGCATGCCGTCACGTTTGGTGACTCTCGCCGTCACGTTTGGCGATTCTCACCGCCAAACAGCTGGAGACTGTGACGGCGGCCAGAGCCGTACTATCAGTCGACCAGCACCAGACCGACGCGAGGTGTCGCGACGGACTGGGACCGGCCGCCAAACATGAACAACTCAGCCGAGTCCCCTGTGCAGTGTGTAGACTGCAGGGCTAGAGTATTGACGCCAATAGCAACTAGCAGTGAACGTGATTGTAGCAGTTCAGACTGTATGTATATTGAGATTGGATTCCCAGTAAGGAATTACACGAGGTGCCTGAAAGGCCAAAGGGCATGGCTGGGTTTGCGTATGGAGTGCGTATGCGACGTGCGTCAATTTGCAGCCTGGTAACACAGGAAATACAGTACCGATGGCGTCACTAAAGGACCTCTGCTGCCCTGTAACGTCCCTGACGTATACCCAGCAGCTATGCTCACCGTTCTGCGCGGCGCGGACGGTCAGGCAGCAGAGGCCGAGCAGTACCGCGGCAGATACGGCGATCGGCGCCGGCTCCATGTCAGTGGACCGGACGGCTCTCTATCATCCCCTGAAACAGAACGGAGAGGACGGGACGGTCAGGGGAGGGTCCGCCGACAACTGTACGCTACATGTGTGATAGGGAAGCACCACAGCACATCTGATTCACAACATAGCACACAACACAACGTGGATACGCGCCTTCGGGTGGATCATCATGTCAGTAGGCGTTAATGCATTTGTAAGGGGGGAAAGTCTACAAATACTTTTTAGAATTCACTTAACATGCACGTGGAAGTCTCGTGGTAGCCATGGTGAAAGTCTCACTCGATAGCCCCTCCCTTCCGATGGACCGGCGACGCACCTATCACAGACTCCATTATGCAGCGCACGCGGCCGGAGCGGCCATTTGACCGGGCTCACAAACAGCCGGGTAAAAACCGGCCGTCCGCCTCCAGAGCGGCAGTAACCACGTGACAAATCAATCAACGCACCATCAGCCATCGAATAAATACATCTCAGCTGCGGCGCGCCAGCAGAGGAGCAAGATACCATCATTAACTCTGCATGATTTGTTGAAACAAAAGCACACAAATCTCGGCCGTCGACAGTTGGCGATAAAACACGATCGAGCAAAACAGCAAAACAGCTCCGGCGTGGTGCGCAAATCACACGTCACCACTTAACCAATCAGGCGGAGCCGTATAAATAAGCAGCTGGGCCGGGTCGACGGGCGTCGACATCGCCCACTATCGGGCCATCATGATCGGCCGGCGGGCCGACCGACCGGTCTACCACCCACGACGCGCGCGCTCCGGCGGCGGACCGTCGGTCGGTCGGACCGTCACCAGCGGGTTAGTGCCGGGTTATCGGACCGGAGCCGGGTTATGGATGGACTCTGGGAGGTTCATATCGCGCCCCGATCGGGCTACCCTCGAATTAATGTCGTGTTGTTGCTGGGTTAGCGTCGAGTTATCTGCCGAGGGTCGACAACGCCCTCCCTCTACGACTAGATCGGCCCAGTTTCGGCACTCAGCCCCCTCGGCCTTCGGCCTTTCTCCGAGCCTATACAGGCCTTTGTCCGCCTCACTGGCCACCACTCTCCACACTCTACCTACTCCTCCTCACTCTTTCTCAACGTTCTTCAGTCTAAGTGGTCAAACCAGAAGAAAAGGTCAAGCGTCCCAGCGATGTTTCAGCATTGCCAACTGCCACACCTTTCATCAATCATTCCGTCAAACCTTTGTTTGTTTCGGTTGAAAAGCATACCGAAATGATACGTCAGTTTGTGACATCACTCACTCGACTTCCAGACGAGCTCACATCAAACTGAGTACGGTTGCCTACATACGGATGCGTTCCATACTTAAGTGTGCAATAGGACTTAGACTGACGAGTGTAAGGACGGAGACTCCACTGATCAGTCAGTCCCCTTCAATCATTACTCAGCATTAACTCTCAGCATGGCACGTCGGTCATGCCGACCATGTAGGTCCAATAATCCGGACCAAACAATCGGCTCAAATAAATGACCGCTGTTCGATCACCCAGTGCCAGCCACTGTCGTCACGACAACAGAAATTGACCAGCAATTGCAGTGGAACGCTCTCAACGACCTAAGGTTGCTGGGATTTAAAGTCGCAACTCAGATCTCGGAACACACAAGGCTCTTGTAGCTGCCTCTCCAGCCGCTGCCGCCATGGCCCCGGCGCCGACGGACGTGTCCGGATCCGTGTCCGGAGGCAGCAGCGTGTCCGGCCGTGTCCGGAGTGTTGTCCGGAGTACACCGGCCCCAGGTAACGACGTGCCAACAGCGCGGCGGCCGTCCGAGCGGCGCCTTTGTGGCCGAGTGCCGGTACTTCATCAGAGGGGCCGCCGGCCGAGGTCAGCACGCCGCCGCTACACGGCTGCACGGCCAGAGGGTAGCAACGGCCGCACACGGGGGAACACAATCTGGGCGGGGCTGCACAAAGGGGAACATGGGCTGGGAGGCGCTGTCGAGGCGTTGCCGGTAGCCACACCGAGACACGCGCAACTGAGCTGATGCCTGATAGGAATGACTGATACATCAGCGACCACCAGCGAATCACAAGTCTGGAAAGCACTAGAGGATCGTAACAAAATACCTAGCTGTAAGATCGGAATGCGAAGCTGGAATCAGGACTGGATTCGGAGCCACAGTCAGCAATTCAAAACTCACGAAAACGCGAATTCCCCAACAAATTGCATTTCCGCGTCGTGGTTTCAGCAATATCGGAAACCGTTCTCCGCTCGTTCCGCCGATCGGCCGGACTAACGAGCCGGTCCGAGCGGCTCACGAGGTCCGGCGGTGCGTGGCGCGCCGCCGGTGGTCAGGTCACGGAGGCCGACCGGTCCGGTCACACAGCGCGGTGGGCGGTCCGAGCCGCACGGGTGGCCGTGTAGCCGTGCCGCCGCTGTGGTAGCTGTGGTCCGGTCCGGCCGGACTGGGTTACACAGAACCGCTTGGCGAAATCCGGCGACCAGCAATGAGCTACTGGCTGGTGTGGAGACCCGACACAGTGAAACAGCTTGCCGAGGCGTTCAGCCACCGAGAAAGGTCGGTCGGTAGGTAGTAAGTCTCGAACACGCGAGGCGCTATTATCGAGTCATTATCGAGTCAACGATGCACTTCCAAGCTGCTACCGAGCCAAGCTCAGCGGGTCAAGCATTAGCGAGTCCGCTGGCAGCGCGCCACACACTCACATCTGTCGCGACGTGCCTCCACGGCCACCAGCATCGCTCCGCTTTGTGCCGCGGCCCGGACTGAAGAGGCGCAATTTCAGGGCCAATTTGCGATTACAGCCGTCGACCCGCTGGACTGTCTCGGTAATCGCCGCGGTCCGGCCCGCCCCTCCTCGGCCGGAGCAGCATGCAAACCGCGTCATTACACAAAACAAGGCCACCGAGCTCCACATTCGCCATGCGGAGCTCGGCGCGGCGGCGTGACGAGAAAGGGTGGTCATTTTTGCCCGGCCGGCCGGAAAAACGGCATGCCGATATCGTGACGCGGTCTGAATATCCGCTCGGCGAGCGGTGCCGATTCGGCGGCCCTCACGACGGAGCGCGCGGCGCGCCGGGTCTCGTAAATCTCTAGACCACGCCGCGTCGCGGACTGGCGGACCTTTTGGGCGGCGCGCGAGGAAGGCTCCCACGGCACGCCCCGTGACCTCCACGAGGGCCGGCACACCGCCAGAGGAGGAGAGGGGAGGAGGACGGAACAACACCCGCCGAGTACCGGCCGACCGACGAGCCGCCGACGGACGCACGAGGACGTCCCCGTCGGCCCCGACGGCGGTGTCGGCGCAGGTGGCGACCCGAAATAGTCACCTCCCCCACCCTCCCCAGCGGCCCGGCGCGACCCGGTGCGTGCCGCCGAGACAGCGCGAGACGAATCGGGAGACAGCCGCCAGTGGGCGCGGCGGAGTACCGTAAAACACACACCGGCCGAGATCATCGCAGACAAATCACACTTCATCACAAACACATCCCGACTCAAGTTCAAACAGATCCCACCCCGCCCACAGATAGACACTCCAGTCTCACACGGCTCCCTTACGAGCCGCATGCACTCGACTACCGCCACGGGCGCGCCCTCAAACACGGCGCGTCGAGTGAAGGCCGGCGCCGGTGCCGGCGGCGGGGGCCGTGTCAACACTCCACGGCCAGCCGGGCATCCGCGGCATCTCAGCGGTTGCATCAGCGACTCTGCCGGCTGTCAGCGCCGCGCCCATCAATCACCGGCAGAGACGGGGACACTGCATGGCACCAGGAAAGGCACCGGGGAGTTGTGAACGAGTCCCAAGTGAGCTTCCGAGTGAGACGGTTGGGAGTAGACTCTAGCAGCTTTTAAACACTACACTGGAGCGAGTGAGCGACGAGCGAAAACGGACAGCGAGTGTCGAGCAGGAGCCGGACGACTGAACGGGTCGATTGAACGGCATGCACTCGGGTTCGATTGATCAGATGATGGACGGACGGCCGCCGCCGACAGCGGTGATGACAGCTCACGGCAGGGCGGTGCCACTGAATCGAACCGTCGCTGCACCGAGGGGATCCCCGGCGAAAGGAAGAGCCCACAAAATCCATAATGTAAAAGACTTGTTACCGACCGGTTATGGCCAAGACTGGGGAAACGCCGTATAATGGCAACCTTCACTTGTTTATTTAGCGCTGTTAATTCCTTTGTTTCCAGCTCGACTGGTGCCTGGCATGTCAGATGTGCTACTAAGATAGTATCATTTCCAGGAAAGTCCGAATCACAGCGCCGCTTGACACAGCCCAGTCGAGGTTACGAATGACCGTGATTGAGGTTAACTGGAGATAGGAATGACGGAGAACCGCACGGTTGTGTTCCGTCTGTCGATCAGTTAGTCCTGTCATGACCCCTTCGTCCGTCCGTCCGTCTCCTGAGGCCCAGCTATCCGTCTGAGTCGCCCTGTCGCCGCCCCCTGCTCCATTTCGAGTCTCTAAGGGCCTGCGGCGCCGCACTTCCGCTGAACGACAGCCACTCTGTCGGCACATATGTCAGCGGCGCACCCCGGCCCACACTAAATACACACGACGATCCGGGCACTGACACCTACCGAAACACTAACAGAGGCGTGCCACGCGTCAACGAGCGTCATCACATGACTGCAGGCGTCATCAGGCGTCACAAGACGACGCCAGGCGTCATCGTACATCACTGGACCATCAGTGGTCAGGTCAAACACAGAGTTCGTGTACGTCATCCTTCTGCGCTGTTGCCGGCCGACGCAGTTCAGTTCCTGGTAAGTTGATACCCCTGGGAGTCCACAGTTAGTTTCCAGACAGGTCTGGAACAGTACAGATCCGTACCACTACAGACGCACGCGGACGGTACGCAGCGTCGCGTGCCGATCTGTCTCCGTCACTGGCTGCCAGGACTTTGGACGCGCGTGACGCGGCGGAGGATACACAAACAGGAGAGCTGACGGGCGGTAGGTCAGTCAGGCAAGCGGACTACAGGTCTGTAGTTCCATCTACGGAAGACCAATATGGTCAGGAAGGAGCGGCTTGGCAATGCAGCAT